TCTCGGGCCTGAACTGGTCTGGACCCCGAAGAAGGCAGCCCTCTCTAGGGCGCCAGGGCTGCCCAGAGCCTCACCCTGCCCCGCAGCACCTCGTAGCCGGCTCTGGGGAGAGATCCTCATTATTATTATTATTATTATTATTATTATTATTATTATTATTATTATTATTATTACAGGACGGAATAAAAATACCGGCAATTTAGGAGATGGAATAGACAGCAGGGAATGAGGTCAGGACTCGGGGGTGCTGCTTCCCTGCACTGGCCTACTTCGCTTGCCCGGAGAAGGAAGTGCTGCTGGGCGGCTGGGTGGGAGAGTGAGGGTGAGGGGGCACCCTGGCTTCCGCCATGCAGGGACGTTGTGTGTGTGTGTGTGGGGGTTACCCAGGAGGAGGCCCGAGGGCTGGGAGAAGAGGGATCCCTGGTCCTAAGGCCAAAAGGGGCACTTGGGCAGGCCACAGGAATAATCGATGCATTTGAATTAGGGTGCAGGCGAAGAATATTGAGAGCCCCACGGGTGCCAGAAGAAAACAACCAGATCTGTCTTGGAAGAAGAAGTACAGCCAGCAAGTCCCTTAGAAATGAGGGTGGCGAGACTTCGTCTCAAGTACTTGGGCCAGATTCTCAGGAGAGACCAGTCCCTGGCAAAGGACACCAGGCTTGGTGAAGCAGGGGGCAACGAAAAATAGGAAGACCCTTGACAAGACGAGCTGACACAGTGGCTGCTGCGACGATGGGCTCAGACGTGCAGAACCTGTTCTTTCTGTTGTATTTCGGGGTCCGACTGGAGGGCGCACACTTTCTCAGAATCCCTTTCTGGGGACCCACAGCCTCAGCGATGGCCTCCTCCAACTCTGAGCTCGTTATCCCCTTACTGCGTGAAGGGGCAAAACCCGCTTGCGAGTTCTTCTTGAAGGTCTAGTTTCAGTGCCAGGGTGGCGACTTCAAATCCTGGCGCTCAGGCTACGGCGCCCATCGTGGCTCCGTGATGCCCTCTAGGGGCCACGAGGCGGAAGCAACGCCCGTGTTTGGAGGTTGGCCCCACGGTTCGGGGAGTCGACGGCAGTGGGGTTTGAGGGGGTTGGATGGGGTTCACTTTGGGGGACCTCCCCACTGTCCCCCACTCCAGACCCCGACCCGTGGGCTCATGTCTAGTTACTTCTTGGAGGTCCAAAGAAAGGGTTCAGGCTGAGATGGCAGCTTGTGCCCGTTGTCTAATGACGTGTAACTTCTTGAAAATGTATTTGGAATGTGAGCGTGCATCAGAATCATAAGGAGTAAATATTAAAGCACAGCTTTCCAGACCCCGCCCCCAAGTTTCTCACGGAAGCCCTCTGGGGTGAGTCCCAGAACGGCCATTTCTGACACCTCTTGCTTGAGGCTGCAAACTTAAAATTCCCCTGGTTCTTGCCTTCCCTCCCTGCCTGAGACGGGCGACAGAGGTGTCAACATGGAATTGTGAAACACAAAAGGAAATTAGGGGGAGGGGAGGAAATACCAGCGTTTAAAAGAACCTAACTTGTTGCTGGAAACAATGACGAACCTTAAAAGCCTCCGTAAAAAATCCCCAGGGGGCACCCGGATTTGAACCGGGGACCTCTTGATCTGCAGTCAAATGCTCTACCACTGAGCTATACCCCCTCTGCTAGCCAGCTGGCGCAGGGAGCCTCTCAAGGCTACTCCTGCGCAGGCGCCGTAGCAAGGTGTTTAAAAGGAAGTGGCCGGGAGAACCGGGTTTTTACAAGAAATGTAAAGCGTGTGACAAGAATATTCGCCGAGGGCACACGTTGCTCCTGAAAGCTTTAAACTAAAAAGTCCTGCTGGCGATCTAAGCAAAATGCCCTTTGGGGATGGTGGCGAAGCAGTCCGTGGAGCTCCTTCAAGATTCCTCGCTTCGGGCATGTTCCCTGGGGCCGAGTCCCCTCACCTAATCTGCGGGAGACCGCCTGCTGCTTTTCGGCGTCTCCCTCGCGCTCGCGCGGGCTTCTCCGGCCATCCTTCCCCAGCCCAAGTCCGTCCTTGTAAATCCTGCCATCCTCCGGAGGAAGAGTCGTCCGGTCCCTGCCCAGGCCGCCACTGGGGTCAGCTGCCTTCTCGAGCTCTGTGTTATTTGTCCCCTGTCCCTGTATCGTCTGTCCTGTCCGCGAAGGAGCAACCCACAACTCCTGGACACCAGTGTTCCCTGCACTCCCCCGACAGACAGAAAAACAGACGCAGGTGGATGGGCCAAGGGCTACCCGCCCCTTGCCAAGGTGATCGCTGTCAGGGCTGGACTCTCCATCTTCTCCCGCTAAGAGGTGGGCAACAGAATCACAAAAACACGAGCGAAGTTCAAAGAACAACAAGGGGGCACCCGGATTTGAACCGGGGACCTCTTGATCTGCAGTCAAATGCTCTACCACTGAGCTATACCCCCAACACAACTACAGACTTCGGTTAGACCAAATTTCTGTAAAATTAGGGAATAAGCATCAGTATTTGAAGGCGGCTGGTTTCTTGTTATTAATTTCCCCTTGTTCCCGTTGTGTGTCCAAATAATTTAGTTCAGAAAAACACAGAACGCGGTGAAGTCAATTTCTGAGTTCTTCCTCCATAAGGTCACCTGAGGGTACATAATTACATCACGGTTAAGGAATCCACGCACCGACTCTCCCCCAGATGGCCACACCTTGTTTGGGAAGGAGAGGTCCTCTCTGCCCCTCAAGACCATCCTAGACCTTTGGAGGTGATGGCATTACTCACTCCTAGTAAGAAAACATGCAATTTATTTAAAGAACAACAAGGGGCATGCAGATTTGAACTGGAGACCTCTTGAACTGCAGTCAAATGTTCTACCACAGAGATCTACCCCCACACAGAGGTAGACCTTATACTCTCCCAGCCATAAAATTCATTGGTTTTGCCAACACTCAGGGTCTCTGCCCCTCTCTGCCAGGAGTCAGTAATGAAACCACTTCCTCTCCTGGGCCCAGGCAGACCTCAGACTCCTCAGCTTTCCGTGCTGGTACACTGGATGCCAGCCATCCCCAACCTAGCCCACCTTACCCAGATGGACCCCTGAGGCAGGTCCCTCCCATTTGGGGGGGGGTGAGGGGGGGTGTTGTTTATTTCCTGCCGCAGCATCTTGCACACACATCAAAAGGCAGGATGAGGACTGGGGAGAGGAGGATAGGCCAAGGTAAGAGGTGAGCAGCTTCCAACCGCATGTATTACACTTCTTAATAAAAATCCTAATACAATATTGCAGTGACGTGAGATCATTTGGTGTGAGCCTCTTCTACCCCTCATCTTTGAACCTCCCACCAAATGGCTAGGTAGGAGCATGCACATAGGTGTAGAGGACTCTAACTCAGGGATTGGTCAGTTTTGCCATTCCACTGGGTATCAAGTGAGCTATCTCAGAAGCAGGCACAGAGAATCTCACACAGCTCAAGACAGAAGAGTCAACCGAGGAGCCTGTGGGAGATCCCTGTGTGAAGCAGTGGGGGCACAGAGGCCACAGCACTGAGACCATGTGATGGAGCAGAGGACTTCCTGGCCCACAACCAAAGCTGAGTGCCATCAGGCAGGAGGCTGGCTTGCAGAATGCAGTGATTGGTGACTCCCCTCTGCCCAGAGGGAATAGGACAGATGACGGAGGGGCCACCAGGGTGGGGGACAGAATTCTAGGAATTCTTACCCTGCCTCCCAACATGTCCCGCACATTTTTCCTCCAGAGAGGTAGCGGGTTGAGGGGTAGGGGCTCCTCCACTCCCTAACCTCCACATCTCCAACAGCCTCTCTGGGGTCTGCAGAAAGGACTCATGCTCTGCTGTCCGGATGCAGCATTTCAGGGCAGGCCACCCGCTCCTCGGTAGGGGTTGGAGGAGAATGGCCATCTCACTGGTCACCCCAGAGAATCATAAGAAAATAAGAAATAGTCCCTTGGGTTTTCCACCCCCATTGTGCGTGCAAACCCCGCTCCATCTCTCGCTGGACGTGGTCTGGGGCATCAGTTGGCAGTGGCCTGAGACTGCATCCATTGGAGCCCAGCGGGCAACCTGCGGGGAGGGAGAAACAGGACATCAGGGTGCTCCATGGGGACGATAGCTTGGGTGCCTCCAGTCCCTGCTCCGAGCTGAATGACGGGGCCACCAAATTCCATCCTGTCACCCCATCCACAAACGGAGTCCTTGCTGCATATCAGACATCACTGCGTGAGGGCCTGGGATTACTGAGTGCAGGAAATAGATTGCCCTATGGCTTACAGTCCTGCAGGAGCAATGAATATTAAACCAATGGTCTGGCAAATGGTCCTTTGACTACATACTGTTGAGAGGAGGAGAGGCCTTTGGCCATCTGGGAGTCCAGGAGGGGCTTCTCTGACGAATGGGGCTGGAGGACCAACCTCCTGGGCCCCTTAGCAATGAATGTGAGCAGAACCCCAATGCCCCTTCCACCATCCGCTCCCTCACGGAGGGCACTGCTCCATAGGCACACTGCCCCACAAGACCACGGGCAACCCCAAAGCCAGGATGGAGTCTTGGTCATCTCTGGGTCAGCCCAGCCCTTGCCAGGCCCAGTGCTTGGGACATGGGGGCACGTGGGGGAATGCCAATTGAATTAAACTGACTGTGGGTTGGGGTTTCCTCCTGACCCAAGCGGCAGGGACACTATCAAACTGTGTGATCCCTTGGGCTGACTGTACTTAAAGGGTCTCCCTCTTCAGCAGGAAGACTTTCATAAGCACCTCCCCCCAGGCCCCTCTCGGACATCATATCCAAATTCACCACAGCCCTGCTGCAAACTTCCAATGTCCTGTCCCAGCCTGATTTTCCTGCTTAGCACCAATCACTAACTGACTCTCTGTTTTACCATTTGTCCTGTGTATTGTCTGCCCGCTAGGAAGTCAGCTTCTTAGAGGCAGGGACTGGAATCTGTGCTGTTCTCTGCTGCATTCCCAGCGTCTAAAACCACGCCCGGCACACGCACAAAAGGCCCAAAAAACGTTGAGGGAATGAGTTGGATCACTGAATCTCTGAGAAACTCTGAGAGGAAGGGACCACCTCCTGGTTAGAGATGAGGAAAAGAGGGGTCAGAAAGAGTGTGGGGTTCCCGATGAGAGATCTGTCTGGCTGATCTGTCTCCTCTTCATTCAGGGCTTAGCTCGAAAGTCAACTCCTAAGACTGGTGGCTCTTCCCTGGCCACCAGAGCTAACTCAGACCCCTCCCCAGCCCTGGCCCTCTCTGTCACTGCTGTCCAGTTTCACTGTCTTCAAAGCACTTGCCAGCACCCAGGCGTTATGGGAGTTAGGAGGGGTGTGTTGCCTCTCTCCACCTTGGAGTCAAGCCCTGCCGAGTAGGGAGCCTGGGGGGGCTCACCGCTTAACCCCACCCCCACCCCTCAACTCCGAGTAGGTGCTATGCTGGCACAGCCCAGGAGTCATGTCAGAGCCAGAATGTGGCAGGAGAGAGACAGGAGAAGGGTGTTGGCGGTCCATCGTCCAGGGGTTGGGCCCGGCCCTGGGGGTCCAGGCGGGGCAGTCACTAACCCTTCCCCAGTGAGGGCGCAGCAGCCCTGTATGTGCCAAGGGTGGTCTCTGATGGAGTCGAGGGTAAGGACTTGCGAGATCTCGGTGGTGCTCATGGAATCCTTCACATCTTGCTTATTGGCAAAGATCAGGACGGAGGCATCTTGCAGAGCCTGTGGGCGGAGGAGCCGAACCGCAGTCAGCCTGTCAGGATCACCCTTCCCTCTCTCTGCCTTCTTCTAACCTCCCTGGCTCCCAGCAGTCCCGGCAGAGAAACCCTGTCCAGGTGGGACAGGGCTTCCATGAGCAGCAACTCTACCAAGACAGCTCACGGAACACCTCCCCTCTGAGAGGAGGGGCCATCTGCTCGTGAGATGGAGTTAGATGTGCACAGGTTCTTTATGACTGAAGAAGGACTGAGGACAAGAGACATCAAATGACTTGCCCAGGGTCCCACAATGAGTTAGAAGTGGGGTCAGGTCTTGAACCAGCAACTCGGGCTTCCATGATCAATTGTGAGGGCATTGCAGCCCTGCCCTGGGACCAACTAGCCTGACTCAGGCTGCTGAGACAGGACTCTCTCAGAGGCCAGGGCAGCGAGAACGAAGCCCAGAGAGACTGAGTAGACACCCCTAGGGCACACAGCTGGCCTCCTGGGCCTCATTTCAACCTTACCTCGTGGGCCAGCATATGATACAACTCCTTCCTGGCGGTCAGCAGCCGGGTCCGGTCTGTGCTGTCAACCACAAGGATGATGAACTGGGCAGCGGAGAGAGCACAGAAGCATGAGCTTGTGTCCTTCCCACAATGCTCCCCCACTGCCCTCTGCCCAGCAGACACTGTCCAGTCCCAGGATCTCATTCCATTTTCATTCCCAGCTCCATTCACACATAGAGGGTCCATGGCCCAAGCCCTGACTGGGCTGCAGGCTGACCTCAGCCCTGGGTCCACATTCCCTGTCATTCCGGCCTCATCCCCACCCTGCAGACCTGGCACGACTGTAGAAAGGGAGCGTGAGGCTCAGCCAGGTTAAGCAGCGTGCCCTCCACCACACAACTGGAGAGAGGACTTTGAACTCAGGTCTGTCTTAGTCCAGGGATCAAACCACTGAACTGTCCCGCTGCCGGAATAAGAAAACAGATTTTCAAGACCACAGGGCCATCCCCTCCCCAGCATGGCCAGGAAGTTTTCAACACAAAGTGAGCAGGCATTGTGATGCAAGGAGTCCCTCCTACCCCTACCCCTAAATCTCACAGCCACCCCAGATCATGCTGATGGGCCCCATTGCACGGATGAGAGGACTGAGCCCGGAGCGGGTGAGTGTTCACACGGCTGCCTTGGGGGCGCTGCCAGCCCCGGCGCCTGGCTCACCTCCGTGTTTGAGTAGTATGTGCTCCAGGTGGAGCGCAGAGCCTCCTGTCCCCCTATGTCCCACACGAGAAAGTGGGTCTTTCGCAGAACGACCTCTTCTACATTGCTCCCGATGGTGGGACACGTGTGGACGGCCTCATTCGTCAGGCTGGGGAGGGAGGAGTGGGTACCCGAGGTCAGCTCGGCCACTCCTCACCCTGGCCTCCACCCCTCTACTCCCAGGGTGGGCCATCCCTAACTCAGCCCAACTCCACCTGGTAGGAGCTGGTGCTTGCTGGGAGGTGGGAGGAGGGAGATGAGGTAAAGCCCAGGGCTGGGATGCCACGGAGCGCTGGTGGGCTAGTGGTCACTCATCTCATCGAGCTGCTAATAATAGCAAGGTCACCCGTTTGAAATCAACAGCGGCTCTGAGGGAGACTGGACTAGGCTTTCCACTTCTGTAAAGACTTTTAAAGCCAAAACCAAACTCACTGCTATGGCGTCAATGCTGCCTCACAGCAACACTACAAAACAGGGTAGAACTGCCCCTGGGAGATTCGGAGATTGTAACTCTCTTTTAATTTTAAACCGTTTTATTGACACATACTTTACATAAGCATACACTTTCATCAGCCAATCATATCAAGGAGAATTGTACAATTATTCCCATATTAATTTTAGAACATTCCAAAAAATTTTTTTAGAACATTCCTCTAACCTCCCCTCCCCCGTGGTTAAATCGCCTTTAAAATGATGAAACTCTTTGCAGGAGTGGAAAGCCCCATCCTCGTCCTAGGAGCGATTGGTTCTCAAATTGTTGACCGTGCAGATAGATCCGAGACTGCGAAGAAGACCTGCAGTCTTGGAAACCGGCAGGGCCACCCACCCTGCCCTGTGGGGGGTTCTGGTTCTATGACTTGGAAGCTACTGTAGGCACCGAGTTTGCGGGGTCGGGGGACAGTGGCACAGAGGAAAAGTTAAAATGCCCTTGAGTCACCAGCCAGTCTGCAAACATGCAGATTCTGACCTGGGGCCTGGCGGGGGCCCGGACTCTGCATTTCTAAGAAGCTTCGGATGATGGGGCGCTGGCGTGAGGACCACGGGAGACTAGACAAGGGTGACCGGCCGGGCGGGCTGTCCTTTGAATCACACGAAGACGCGCGGACGGCTTGCCCGAGAATGACTTCTCCCGGAGGTTGGAAAGGCGGGAAGCCGGGCAGGGAAACTGGAAGTTCGGGTAAGAAAGAAACTTCCACTTCATGACAGTCTTGTGGGGTTTTTTTGTTCGTTGGTTTGTTCCAACATTGACATAGATTCCCTTTTCAGGGGAAATATTATTCTCGAAAAGAAACCCCTTCAGAGGAGGCTCTCCAGGGTGGGGAGAAGATGCCTCCGAGGGCCGGGGGGCTGCAGCCTCGCCGACTCCTTGCCCGCCAGGGGAGGGAGGACGCTGCAGGCAGGGCTTCGGAAAGCGGGGGGCGGCCGGGGGGGCGGTGCAGACACGAGAGACGCGGGTGGGGCCGGTCCCCGCGGGGGTGGGGGCGGGGGCGGGAGCTGTGGAACGCCAGGTGAGGGGCCACTAACCTGGAAGGTCACCCCAGCACGACCCCCGTCACGCCTCCCAGCTTCCAGAGGAACCGAGGGACAACCCCCCCACCCAAATGAGCGAAGCCCCGCGATTGGTGCAAATACCCGTCAGTCTGGCGGGAAGGCCCCGCCCCCAGCTCCCACCCACAAGAGTCACTTACAACTGGTAGAGGATGGTGGTCTTCCCGGCGTTGTCCAGGCCCACGAGGATGACCTTGTGCTCTGGCGGCAACCGGGGGTGAGGGGAGGGGGCAGGGGCAGGGTCAGACCCCGTGCCCCTACATGGGCTCCCAAGAGAGAGCCCCGTCCCCAGCAGGACCCAAGGAACCGCTCCTGCACACACACACACACACACACACACACACACACACACACACACACGGGCGCCCTCCGCAACGGGCTCCAGACACAAGCCCCGGGGAGTAATGGTTGGAAGGGTCCAGCATCTTTGAAGTGACCTGTCAAACGCAGACTCCGGCCCCGGCCCCCACCGAAGGAGGCAGGGGAGCCTGCGGAGCCCAGGTCCCCTTCTCTCCGACCCCGACGACCCGAAAGGGAGGGAAATCAGAGAGGTCGCCGGGTGCCCGGAGCCCCACGTACCCTGGCTCCCGAAGATGCTCATCAACTTGGCAATCAGCTGTCCCATGGCGCCTGCGGAACCAGCGCGGGGCAGAGCTGGGGGACTCAGAGGGCACAGGTCAGAGCCAGGAGCACGGAACTCCGCCTCCTACCACCTCCCCCTCCAGCCCCGGGCGGCGGGCGGGGTTTACGAAGCTCCCTGCCACTCACAGTGACCCTATAGGGCAGGGTAGAGCTGCCCGCCCCCCTTTGTGGGTTTCCCAGACTGTAACTCTTTAGTAGAAAGCCCCATCTTTTTTCCGAAGAGGGACAGGTGGTTTCAAACCGCTGACCTTGAGGTTAGCGGCCCACTATGCCAGCCTGGGAATCCTCATAGGGCACTGGACCCTAGAGGAGCTATTCACATCATGGTGACCTGGAGCCACCTGTCCAGGGCGCCCCCTGAGACATAAGGCAAATGGTCTCCTTGCCTCACTCTTTCCTCCTCCTCCCCCTGAGAAAACTCCGAAGCACTCATGAGAGGCAGTGCTCCTCACCCCAAACTAAGGGAGCTGCCTCCTGTTATGGACTGAATTGTGTCCACCTGGAATGTGTGTCCACCTGGCTCGTGGTCTGCTGGCAGGTATGTCATGATGGGATTTGGCAGCTATGTCACCAAGAAACCCTGCCCTTGATGGGAGCTGCCCTGATCAGCCAATCAGTTCAGGGGGGTAGAGTGGGCCTCCACCATTGGGTCAGGTGGCAGCCCTATCCCAGGTGAAGGGCGTTTCCTCCGGTGTGGCTGGCAAGAGACAAAGGGACTGGACCATCACCAAGAGAGAAGAGCCAGGCACAGAAAGAACCTCCTAGACAAGCGGTTCTCAACCTGTGGGTCAAGAGCCCTTTGGGGGTCGAACGACCCTTCCACAGGGGTCGTCCGATTCATAACACTAGCAAAATGACAGTGATGAAGTCGCAAGGAAAATAATTTGATGGGTGGGGGGGTCACCACCGCATGAGGAACTGTATGAAAGGGTCGCGGCATTAGGAAGGTGGAGAGCCACTGTCCTAGACCCACGGGAAGACGGATGCTCTCAAAGGGACACCAAGCTCCACAGTCATGAAATGGAGTCAAGGACTTTCTCCCGAAGCCAGCAGAAAGGAACCCATTTCCCCGGAGCTGGCCACCTCCTGCAGACGGCTAGCCTCCCTGATGTCGAGAGGATCCATTTGTTTGTTAAAACCATTCGTGTGTTTCTGTAGCACCAACACTAGCTGAGGACAACAGCCCACAACCAGACCCCAGCTCTCCCCCCTCCGAATGCCACCTCAGGGGGCCCCAAGTGTACCATCTCCTACACCCGAGCCTGCCTGGGTTGGCCGACTATGCTAGCCCTTGGCAATTCTCTGGGTGGGTCTGAAGGCTGACTCAGTGTGCCCCTCCGTTCGTTCACAGGGCCCAGAGTGCCAGGCAATGACTAAGCCACCCCAGTGCTACCTCTCCGACTCATGGATGTGGCCCCTGATCCCTGAGGGTGGGCATCTGAAGGGCAAAAGGAGGTGTCTGCTGGCAGTGCCTTGCAGAAGCTCCCCTAATGCTGAGAGCCAGCGGAGGGCACGTAGTGGGCGGGAGGAGCGAAGGAAGCTGGAGGAAGGAGAGGCTGTTTTGTGGAAGCCCCTCCTTTGCTTAAACTGGGGAACCCCAGAAAACAAAAGAGAAGTGGGGGAGATGAAGCAACCTCCGATGAGGGATGAGCGGTGGTTAGAAGACCACCAGCCACCACACACAAGAACTGATCCTCCAACCATTGCCCCTGACCCCCAATAGCCCCGCCTAAAAGGTAACCACCATGCAACTGGCCTCCCTCCGCCTCCCCTCAGCCAGGGCATTTCTCCTCATGGCCCCATCAACGTCTTCAAGCACAGCTCAGCGTCTGCTAGTCCCCAGCTCATAAACCTTCCATGGTTCCCCACTGCCCACCACATTCAGCTCCCGTCTCCTAACCCGACTCCCACAGCCTCCATGAACTGCTCCCACCTGCCTCTGCAGGTTTCTCTCCCAGCTTACCACCCTCTGGGTCGGCTGACTGGCTCTGGCCTATGCATGCCCAGCCCTTTCTGACTGGGTCTTTGCCTGGTCACCCCTCCATCCTTCTCTGCCAGAAGGAAGCCCAGCCCCTTTGGCACCTGCCGCCAAAGCCACCCACTTCCGCAATCCTGACTTGGTTCTGGCCACAGAGGACCTCCCTGCAGACTGGCACTGACGACAGGGCTATTGGTTTTCCTGTCAGCTGTGAGATCGAGAGGGCAGGGTTCATGTCTTGTTCATCTGTTTCTTCCCACCCGGGCCTAGTCCAGTGCCAGCCACACAGCTGGGATTTGTGGCTGTCTGACTGAAGGACAATTAGTTCAATTGGAGTATTCCAACCAGGAGCATGAGGACAGGTTTCAGAGGAGTGAGGAAGGCTGGGGAGTGCGTGGAGAGAGGGGGTGGGGAGATACTCAATAGACTTTTCATCACCCCCAACTTGGTGCCCAGATTTAGGAAGATGGAGCATTAACACCGTCCACACTGTCCCATCTCTCCCCCTTCGCTGGCTGCTGGCTTTAGTTTAGCACAGTGGAGCCCATCGGTCACATCTCAGACTGATCTGAGACCTCTCCCAGCTCCCTGCAAAGTCTGATGGAAGATGCAGCCATTGGTGAAGGTTGCTAGGTAGGCAGCCCCCAGCCACCTCAGTGCCCACCAGTGCTTGCCTGGGCAAGAGTGCCCGTGGGAGCAGCCTCTGTGAGCCTGGCCTCAGCTCACTTCTTTGAAATCACTTGTTGACAACCACCAAAGTGCTGACAGGGCAGGGAGAGTCAGCTGAGGGCCTGTGGTTACCACGAAACAAGCATCTCTCTCTCCCCAGCTCTGAGCCGGGGAAAAACAGCCTTGCCTGCAAGCTCCTGGGAAGCAACATTCCAGGCAGAAGGCACATGGGGAAGAGACCCAAACCAATTCAGACACTTGCTTCTTTCTGCCCACCGCCCCCGACTCCAGAGAGCCAGCACTCTCCTGGGGAGTTGGCACTGGACTTGGGGGGTGCAGCTAAGACAATGCTGAAAACCCAGAGACCTGAGCTCAAGTCCTTGCTCTGCAGCTGTGTGACTGGGGGCAGCAGCTTGGCCTCTCTGGGTCTTATCTGTAAACTGGAGTTCACAATCCCTAGCCTTGATTCAGAATGTCAGATTCATGGTCAGCCCTCTCTATTGAGTTCCAGCTCATGACCCATCTGTCTCCGCTATCTCTTCAATGCCCCACCTTCAACTCTCCCTGTCCAGAGCTGGACTTATGGCTGCCCTAACCTGTTTTACCTCATGTTCCTTTTGTGTCTTGGAAGACTGGCATGCACAGTCACCCCAGACTCCTCCCTCTCTCTCCTTGCACCCCTTCAATGGCTCTCCAAGATGTCTTGATTCTAATTGTCTGACAGTCCCGGCTTCCTTTCCTAGACCCCTGCTGGAGTCCAGTGGATAGCCTCCTCACAGCTCACCTGATAGATCACAACTATTTCCAGACTAGGGCCTCCAACCCACGCTCCCAACTGCTTCCCCTTGCTGTTTCAAAGCCTTCCGTGTCAGCAAGTCCAAACGCCTCCACATGACCCAAGGACCACTGCGACCTGCTCCTGCCAAGCCCACTAGCCTCCTCTGGCCATTTCCTGAGAGTGCATTTGATAGTGAAGTGGCCATGTATGACATGCCACCTGCATCCTCTTGCTCTGAGTACACATTTCTCTTCTCTGCACAGGTAACTCCTAGCACCCCACTGCTGTGGCTAGGTGCTACCAAGGCAGTGCTGACTCACGGTGACCCCTCTGGACAACAGAACAAAATACTGCCCAGTCCCATGCCCTCCGCACAAGCATTGTCATGTCTGAACCCCCATCTAGCAGCCACGGTATCCATTCATCTTCTCGAGGATCATTCTGTCTCACTGACCCTCTGTTTTCCTAAGCCTGAGGTCCTTCAGCAGGGGCTGGTCCTCCTGATGACGTCCAATGCACCAATTCATCATCCTGGCTTCCAAGCATTATTCTGACTGCTACCTCTTCATAGACGGCTTTGTCACTTCTCCTTCTGGAAGAGCATGTATATTCAATGCTGTCCACCAACACCATAATTCAAAGGTATTGTCTTTAGTCTGCTTATTCTTTGTCCAGCACAGGAGGCTGACTGCAACACCACGGCTTGGCTTGGGTGTGTGCTAGCCAGCCAAATGGCATCTTTGCTTGCCAACACTTGGAAGAGAAGTTGGGCGGCAGATCTGCCATCCTTCTAGACTCTGCCACACCTCACCTGCTCTGGGAAGCCTCCTGTAGCCCCCCAGGTTACCACAGGACCTAGTGCTTCCTGCAGTAGAGCCAGCTCAGTCGGAACTTGGAATTTGTCTATGGCCCCTCGTCAATGTGCCTGGTACAGAGTAAGTGCTCAGTAAATGGAGTTTTTTGCCAGTGACTTAAGTAAGAGAGGGAGTGGCTGGTTCTATGGAAAAGCAGAGGCAGAACACCTCAATGGAAGGCAGGGACTGAGGAGCAGTGCCCTAACCCTAGCAGTGCTGGCTTGGCCACCAAGTTCCAGCCCCCGGACCACTGGTCCACCCAGTTCATCTCTGCTTGTCCCTCCTCTGAAAGGCTTCAGAATGCACACACACACACACAAATGGAGAAGTGATCGGTGGGTGCTTGTGAGGCAGGACACAGGCCAGTGGAGTTAACAGAAATCCACATCCTGTCAGCTGGGAGGTTGGGGGGGGCGGGCTGGCAGCAACTGTCAGGCACCTGCGGACTTTCTTCTCATAGAGCTTTTCTTAGAATAGGGCTGGGGGCAGGGTAG